ATGGTCTAAGATTTTCTGTTCCATTGGTTGCACTATTCTTCACATACTTAACACATCCGTACTAACGTATTCTTCTTAGCAACTGGAAACAACGTAAGTATTTTGAAATATAAAAAATACGTTGAATCGTTGTTTAACCCTGATGTGATTGTAAAACAAAATTAAATGTATGATTTTACGCTTGGGGAGGTGGAAGCCAATGCTGGTCCTCTAACCCTTGAAGCCGTGGCCTGTTAAACTGCACAGTCGCATGAAATGACAAAATGCAAACGAAGATATGTCAAAAGTCTGCAACAGACGGAATGCTGGCATTAATCATGTACTTTAGATAGGTTTGACAGAAAGATGATATACTAAATGAATGGAGGAAAGTTGTTGCGGTCCCTCGGGATTTAGGGAAGGCCGTTGCACGGATCCAAATAACTATGTGTTCCTGCAAAGGCGTTCATGTGTGTTATGGCGAATAGAATCGGATAGCATCTAAAAAAGATCTATAGAGAAAAACAGTCTGGATTCAGGGCATGCAAAGGGTTTTCAGATAAGTTATTTACTATCAGACAGTTTGCGAAAAAGGAACGGTAGCGCATACCCATCCATCAGAATTTGAGCTGATTTCATACAAGCCCTTGAATAAGCGCTTTGTGAAAACTTGCTGAACAATAAGATCCGACCAATGGTTGTTCGCATTACCAAAAAGGCGTATGACCTTTCGTAAAGCGCAATATAAATTAATAGCAGGTTCTCCCAAATTCTTTCGTACAAAGCTTAGACAAGCCAAGGAACGAAGCAAAGGATCGCACACGTTAGCATAATCAGCGAGAAACACGTTACGCAAGTTCCGGATGGACACAGACACTGTCCAGAAAACAGTGCTGTAGATATGCTGCTTGCCGGCCCCAGGCAAGGATGAGGAAGGAGGATAGATTTGGACCGTGGCGAGGTTTCGCGTATAACTTAATCATCTGTTCCTGATGGTGGTTATTTCCTTGGTCAAACGTTACACCAGCTCGGTCGTCGCACGGGTAGCCAAGCAGCCGTAGAAGTGTTTTGAACACTCAGGCAAGAAGTTGGTGACCGGAAGCGCTCCAAGTATCAATGAAGCCGGAAGCGTAGCAGCATGACGACGACTGGCGAAGATCTACGCGAAGATGAAAAAGATATCAGTCAGCAGTTGAGAGAGTAGACCTCACGGCTGGTAAGTTGAACGCCTTTACAGCCAAAGGGAAAGAGATGGAGCCAGCAGATTAGGAAACAGGGTACCAGGTGGTCATAGGTGGACTGTCTTCGACGAACAATTACTTATGGTCATAAAATTCTGAACTCTGCCAAATCGAAGCTTTTCAACCCAGGTGTTAACTTTACAGTCATTGCTTAATCATGAATCGACGAACAATCTTCAGCTAAATTTGATCTATCGCGATAGCCAGCAAAACTAGCCCTCCTGCTCCTCATGATGGTATTACTGTTATCGAACGTTATGCCGGTCTGGTCGTCGCCCGAGTTACCACGGACTATGCAGACTGTTTGGTAACTGAGGTAGACTGCGGAAAGTCAGTGATTGGAGCCACTGCATATTTTTTTGGCTGTTTGGGACTTAGCAGCACGGCGACGGCTGCCGAAGATGGAGAAAAGGCGATGTAGACACCAGTCAGCAACGGAGCCTCTACCCGTTTTGAAAGGAGGAAGCGGACAGCGAGATGCCGCTATGACACGTTAGACACAGTCAGAATTCACAATCAGAAATTGGGACATCTCCTCAATATAAGGGAAAGTAAAGGAGCTGGGAGATGAGGCCGCAAGATACCTATTCGATATAGTTGGACTCTTCTCGACCAAGAGTCAAGGCTCTGGAATTTTGAACCTCTGCAGGTGAAAGCTGTTCTACTCAGGTGTCAACTCAATGACCGGCACTCAGGCTGGTGTTGGTATCCTCATAGAAGCCTACCTGGCTAGCAGAATCATTGAATGGAAGTTTGTCAGTGGAAGAGTGTCAGTACTCTAATTGAACTGGCAACGGGCGAAAGATTTGGCCTCGTTGATAGTCTGTACAATAAATTCAGAGGGAGAATATACGTTATTGCTGGATGAAATTGAAGGTGCTACATACGATGTGCGACTATGAAATCAACTATTCTGATGGGCGACAATGCACATGTTGGACAGACACCGAGAAGTGGAAAGGAGTGATTGGGAAGAACGGTTCTAGCGACTTCAACGATAATGACACGAAGTTGTTCTGCTTTTGTACAAACAGCAGATTGTCTGTTATGAACGCCATGCATTGAAACGTGCACCAGCACACTTGGTGGATATACAGAAGTCGATGATCCATTTAATAATCGTATCGGCTGACTGACAACGATCTGAAATGAATGCTCACGCTGAAAAATGCACGGAGATGTCAACCGATTACCATCTTGCGGTCAGTCTATCTATCTAGCCCTTCCAAAGACGGCATGCCATTCGAAGACCCGGTGCCAGAAGTAACCAGAGAATCAAGTGGGAAACATTATCTTCTGCAGATACGAGTGTAAAGCTAACAAACAACATCACTCTACGGTCTGAACAGCTCACAGATATTATGGCTAATTCGGAAGCTGGTAGCTCCTTAAAAGTACTTGGGACTGTTGTTGAATCTTACAGCAGTTTAATACCTGATGGACTGCTGCTTGTGGGAAGAAACAAACTTCCTAGTTAGTACCAGAGGCTCCTCTAGCTGCCGATGAGAAGGCTGCCTTTATGAGATGATTTGGAAGCAGAAGAGCTTCAACTCGAATTCGGTTCGACGAAGCTCATAACATGGCGGCGAAAGATGATTCGTAGAAAAGGATTAGTGAGGCGATGGAGGTGAACTTTCAGATGGCGAACAATTCTGGCAGATCATACCCCTGCGGTGCGAAAAGAACTTTAAATTAAGATTTATGAGTCTTGAAAGACAAAGCCTAACGCGCTCTTACTAAGGTAGAAAATATCTCGGCGATGGAAAGAATAATTTGAGGAACCTCTTAAAACTGAGCCAATGAAGGAAGACTAGCTTGAATAGCATAAGGGAAAGGTTACCCATCTTTCAGTAGACGAAATGGCAGAAACTGTAACAACTTGGAAAGCGGAAAAGCATCTGAAATCTATCAAGCACAGTCATTGACTCTGATATGCTTAATTCTTTAGGCGTATAAGACTAGTTTTGGCTAAGACGTGTTTG